ATATTTCACCGGTGCGATCGTATAATGGCGGCCACAAACTTGTAAATATACCTGATGCCTAAGTACAAAAATTATTATTGCCAATATGCAATACGGACATCCATATATCGTGGCCTAAGGGTGAAAAGGTGCCAAGTCCATTTTTAAAAATTGTTCAAGAGAGATGAAAAATCGATGTAGTTTCGTATTACCTGTCATCTGCGATATAATTTATGGCGTACTTGGACCAAGACTCCAGAAAAGTCTGCCAATGGGCTCGTACTCAACCATATTTCAGGCGGAAGTCTTCCCAATCGAAGTCTGTGTTCGCGAATGTCATCGTAGAAGGCAAATGAGGGCAGAATGAATATTATGTCGGACATTCAGGCAGCGTTAAAGGCCTTAGAGTCTTTTAAAATGGCATCAAGGCTTGTAAACGTTTGAACCACCTGCGAGCCCACAATAGCGTCACGCATGAAGGGTTTGAAGGCAACGAAAGGGCTGACTGTCTCGCAAAACGTGAAGCCCAAATGCGTTTGCATAGTCCCTAGCCTTTCTGTGGTACATCTAAAGGATACACTGCAGACCTACTTAGGAGCAAGCTGGGAATAATCTCAAATTGCTGCCTACTGGCGGAAGTCAAAGGGAATAAGATATTCAAAGATATGCATAACTCTTTCCAGCAGGAGCTCCAAAAGACACCTTGAACTTAGAACTCTTACTGGCTACCTGACAGCACACTGCAAGTCAACGTACGGTTTTAATTAAATGGGTATTTTTGTAGAGACGGACTGTGGAGGTTTTGTCGGCTGGTGAAAAAACCCCAGAGTATATTCAATGTGCCTGCCCACGAAGCATGAATCGTAGATTGATACACCTTGGATAACGATTGCCTTCTCCATCTAAAATTTGGAACCTCATCCAATGTGCTGAGTTTTTTAAATAGCCTAAGGTTAGAGTGATTACAATTTTGATTTAGCACAATATATCTTCTTAGATCGCAGCGCGGGTATCTTCGACGTAATAATAATAATATCGTCACTAGATACGAATAAAGAGCTCGGAAAAACTATTTGGGGAGTTCTGGGGAATACTGTTGCACTCGAAAATATAGTTGACTGCGGACACAAGTTTATGGGTCTTTCTTCGCTGTCAAAGAGGTTAACGCGGCTTTATTTGCCGTCACCTATGTTAAGAGTCTTTCTTCGCCGACAGTTTTTTACGCCTCTTTTTTCGCTATCAACTTTTGAGCTCGCGTCCTTATTCGTATCTAGTGACGATATGTATGCATGTGTAAAGAGACATATGTGCCCATGGATAAGTCTGTACAGTAAAATTAGTCGTTATACGCAGTTAATTTGTTTTTATTAATGTAGTTGTGTTTTAATTTTACTAAATGTTATGTTAACTATGTTTTTAAAAAATTTGACATTGAAAACAAATATTAAAACTCAAAAAAATGTTTGGTAGGTTTTGGTTGGTTATGGTAGGAAATTTTTGTAGGAAAAAAAATTTTTCTGCATGTAATTGCTCCCACCATTATCGCGCTCGCGATCTCGACGGTGCACGTTGTACCCGGCACAATTCAACAGTGTTGAATTGCTGTGCAACTTCGTCTCTTGGACCGCAGCTATCAATATACCATGCCTTCCCATGAAGACGGTTATATACTCGATCTTGCTGTGTAGCCCGTTACAGTTAAACTGAAGGAGCTTCGTGTGGTACGGGAGACGTGCCATTGGCTGTGTGCGCTGCTGAGGTGGTTGCCGCCCTGTGATGGTGCTGGGTGGCGTCGCAGTTGAGATCTGCGACCGAGCAGCGCAACACGGGCCCTCGAAGTTCCCAGTCCAATCTCGCGTGGTACGCAGACCTGAGCATGCCCTAAAGTGCCACCAGCCAACGCAGGTGTTGCACTTGACTGATGTCACATTAAAGAATATCCTGGTCTGACATACCGTGCAGATTGTAGGAGGAACCAAGAGTTGTTGTCGCACCTGAAAGACTTGTCACGAAAATAGTACCTAAGTAAAAGTGTGTATTCCAACAACACCGATTGAATTGGTATACAGTTATTCGTATGGTAATTTCATATTCTAGCAATGCTTTTTGTTATACGAAAAGTTTGTACGAGTACGCTTAATCTTTGCACATATACCTAAGTGAATCAGACTTCAGCTAGTTTTTGTGTCTCTTGTTGAATCGCAGAGGCCCAATAGCGACAAATTATATATTTTTATATAAATCTAGAAGTCGAGACGAATCGATTGGTACCAAATTTATTTTAGTTGGACTGAAGGCTCTCTCGGTATTTAACTAAGCCTTTTATTCTTGCCGGAAAAAATAAAAGTCACATTTTAACTGTTATTATTTGACTGAAAAAATAAAAGTAAACTTTTAACCGTTTATATTGGACTTTTTTCAAAAAGTAAGGAAAATAAAGGGCACGAAGGATTCTTATAGAGAATGTCCCGAGGACCTCAAGAACTTTGAAAAATGCTGTCTACAACAATATTTTGTCCTTGACTTTTTTATTTTTGAAAAATTTGATAACGGTTATTTTGGGTCCCTGGTTTTACGGATATCTTAAAATTTGTTTTTGTTATTTATGGCTTTTTAGTAATTATATTCAACAATTTTTGTTGAACGTCAGGCCCTTTCTAATGAAAAAATGTTGTGGAAAAATAACAATAATTTACTTCGAAGTTATGGCTACTATCACCACATCTCCTCATCAGACTTCTTCACCGCGGTCATTGGGATATGAACCATTAGAAAAGGCCTCAAGCTCAATAAAAATTGTTGAGATTTTAAAATATTTTTTACCATTATTATCTTAAACTTGGGAAATTTGTATGCATATTTCCTTCCAACGGGGGGGATTATCGATGAATAGAAGCCCATTACAAGAAAATGTGTCTTCATTTTTATTATAGGAGCATAGATAAACTGTAAACTTCAAAGCCGGTTTTCTCAAGCAAATGAGCTATAAATAATAAACACCATAAGTAATGTTACCTATATTAAAATATTCGTAAATTAAAGTTATCTAAATGACCATTATCTTATTCTTAAATCTTGGTCTTTATTCAATTTTTAAAAACTTTAAAAGACATACACACCATGGCGCAATAAACAGGTGAAGTAGTAAAACAGCTTTCTCTCTTTATTTTCTGACATTCGGCTGTCTAATAATCAAATTTTATAGGCAAATTTTAAAATAAGGCAGTGTCAAGATCTTTCTCCTCGATCTAATTACTTCACCTGGTATAATTCCACCATGTATTGCGTATACTCCCAAGGCGAATTTATATAAGGTGGTGTTGTATCATCAGCTGTGAGTAGCATTTGATTGTCAAATTTTTGTATTTCGCTAGTGAGTGAGTGAAAACGTGAGAGTGTTTGTATTTTCTGTCGCCCTTTTCCATTCGGGGAAGAATAGCTGAAATTTGACAATGGCCCACTAAAAGCAAAACAAAATACAAGTAATTGTTGTATTTGTTGAATCGATACCACCTTATATGTATTCGCCTTGACTACCAGCAGAGCTCAGGTACCTGGTACCACAGAATAAACAGTATACAGAAGACGCACCACATACAAATTTATTTTTCTTCGGCGGACGTAATATTACAACCCGGACCAGAGCAGAGAAGTTAACATTACGACCACTATGAATAACATGGCGACCCGGAACAGAGCAGAGGAGTTAACATCACGTCCACTATGAATAACATGAAGTTAACATCTCGCCATAAACACACATCGGGATCAGCGTTGCCGCGAGCTGGAAAAAAATGTATCAGTTGCCAAGCAGAAAAAGTATCAAAAGCAAACAAAACTGTTGTTTATTAAACTATTATTTAAAAAACAAATAATAAATAAAATTTTATAATTAAATCCATAGTTATAAAAAAAATTATATATCTTGCTTTTGCATAATGAAAAAACAAACTTATAGGGACCCTAAACCACACAAAATCCTTGCGCAACCCGAGACTTGTACAAGTCAATATTGTGGAATTTACTACAGCATAAAATTGCGCAAACCTTATTTTGAAGAAACGTTGCTCAAGTAAATATGTGCAAGAAATATTAATGTGCGTTGTATATATTGATAGCTTCATCTTTAAAACGTAAAAAAAAACTAAATTCAAAAAAATATATTTTTTTCGATATTTCGTAATGTTTTTGTGTGGTTTAGGGGTCCTATAACAGTTATAAGAGTTACCCAATCAACTTATAAATATCTATATATAAATTGTGAGACTTCAAATAACAATAAAAAAATATTAGCCTTTAGACTAGTAGTACTATTCATAGTTTTCGAAAATTCATTTCTGCCAGCCGAAAGTATCAAAATACGGCATTTGGGAACAAAAAAGGATCAGATATTAAAATTTAGAAAAACAGTATTAAAAAATATACAATTGTACCAAAACGGCAACGCTGATCGTGATGGAAAACGTAGTTAACATCTTGTCGTCATAGCGACGATGGAATTAACATCGTCAGCCGAGTGAAAATACTGCTAAAGTAACAAAGGCAGCGCCGCTTGTGATACCCTTGCTTGCCTCACCGCTCGTGCCATAAATTCAAATTGGTTGGATAGTCGACATGCGTCTTCTGTATACTGTTTATTCTGTGCTGGTACTTATTAGCAAACTAATAATATGTATCACTTTCTTTCGAGTAAACAATTTTTTTTCTCAATATAAATGGAAAAGTGAAATCAAGATATACATACATATACATATGTATAAATATGCACATACATATGTAGCTACTAAATATTGACATTCGATATAATAGTGATGATCTTTACATTCCCTACAAAATTAAGAACGATCACAATGAGTCACTGTTTTTGCACGTTGTTTTACTACTCCAAACGATATCAATTTTTTAATGCTCCACACACTCACACAAAATCATAATAATACATCACACGACTGATCTTCGTACATGTGTTCATTTAACAGTTACATACATATTTACGAATATGTACATTTATGTATAACTACCTGGAGGTTTTGTGAAGTTTCCACTTATTTGCAGGCTCTCGAAACTATGGAAGCCCACATCCGATTTGTCGCGCTTGCAGTATGACGTCGCATTGCCTTTTGTAAAAAATTCACCATCCTCACAGCAGCGACGAATGCATGCCATACTCTGGCAGACGCGCCGCTGTTGGCAAGTACGGACTAAAAAGCGCTGTTCGCCCACATCATGCACATTGAACGGCGTCGTTTCGATTGTCTCCATGCAGTATTCGGATAGCTTGAATTTTTTCCACTCATTACCAATGGCAATGGCTAATTTGCCGTCGATGAATTTCAATTCTTTTCCACTTAGCTGATACTCCACCAGCACCATATCATGCTCACATTGCACCGCGCCATCCACGAAGATGGCCCACTGTTGCAACAAACTGCCATAGCGTTGAAAGCTCTGCTCGACCACACTTTGTATGCACATCTGAGATGCTGTGTCGTATACGTAACGCAGCGGGCAACACTTGTGCACGACGCTCAGTGATTGTAGCACCTCGCCACGCGCGGGTGGACAAAAAATGGCCGCAAGTCGTTGATCGACACTTGTAAGGCAGGCGCTGGGTGGCAACTCCACCTCCTTGTCGCTTGTTAGGAAGAGAAATGTTTGCCGAGCACATTGCGGCACTTGACCGGTGAAATTACCGTCCTGGTCTAGCTCGGGCGACTGAATGTGATAGCCATAGACTGGCGCAGTGCGTTCGAAAACCTCAATGGAATTTTCGGTTTCTTTATCGTTTACCTTTTTTTCATCACCGTTATGAAATACATTACGACACTCGTAAAGTTCGGGCCTAAAGAAGCCCATATTGAGCTTGAGAAGGGACCAGCCCAAAGGGCAGCATATTGGCGCGCTGACCAAACGGCGCGCAGCTGCAGCGCTATCCTCAAGCACGCCCAGAACGCCTGTGATGTGACTGCCAGCGACGCATACCAAAATCAGTGCCAGCAAAGACATTAAACTGCAATCGATGGAGGGGGAGAGGTGTGGGTCTAGATGTCAGCGTGAAATAATTACAAGGGCGGAATTATTTAACTTTTTTTTTATGTTATAGAGGTAGTTTACACTTCACATATGCTTTCTTCGGTCGCGATTTTCAGAAATTTTTAACAAAGAGACGCACTTAAATTTTGTAAGCAGGCAATAATTGATCGCTTGAGGATCACTTCATTTCAAAACTGTGTTGTTTTAAGATAACATACACCATGCTGCCGTCAACAATAACAAATTCTTAACACAACACAACCGCGTTGGGCCAATCAATGCTCATTTACGATCGTTTATCTAATCAATACGTATTTTTTTTTCTTAATTTTCAATTGTAAACAAATACAAAATATTTATGTGTGCAATTTTTCGTTCACGCTATGCTCTTTGCATTGGGTTCACCGTAACACCTTCGAACAAAATCAGCCATCGCCACTACACGCGCGGCCACCTTAAACAGCCGGAAGAATTTGGTGGCGCTTTGTGTCTTTTGCTGAATTTACCGTCGCTGCAAAATAGATCCAGACACATCCATACACCACCGCGTTTCTCAATTGACTGATTGACTCGTTGGTGGAGCGCTGGTAGTGTAGACCGAATTTTCTTGTGGCAATGACGCAATGGCTATAAGGCCAATGAAGAATATCTAAGTATGGCTGAGTAGCGTGCCTTCGGCAATGCGAGGGAGCAAATAGTTTAGTATTCGCTAACAACTTGAGGAGCAAATAATGGCTACCTATGTATCTCAGTAAGTACGCAGCATGACTCCAAATAGTTGCACCACAAGGAAATCGCGACTGTAGGCCCTTAACTCATTAAACGCGAAAGCAAAAGAGGAAGTTGAGAGGAACCAAATGTTGTAGGACACTAAAATAGAGGATATGTTCAAAAACCCATAATATAAAGTTTCTACCTCTGTAGGACCTGAAACATATATGAAACACTCGTGAATCTTTGTTATGTAATAAATATTTTAATAACAACAAAATTACTCCACGAAATTTGAGCGTACATATATGTAACACTAGCGTTTAAAGAGTTAATAGCAACACTTAGATGAAATTGAAACTAGAAAAGTGTGTATGTATGTTGCATGTCTTTTTTCGGATTAAAAAGCGTATATTGCTGCAAGGTGTTTCTTTTCGCAGTGTCTCTATTTAAAAACAAAAAAAAAACACTTTTATCCCACTTCAAAAAAAGAAGGAAGGTTTTCACTTCATCGGAATATATTTTTATTTTTTTCTTTATGTATGTTACCAGATAAATTTGGACCACGTGAACCGTTTTCGATAATTTTTATCG